GGTTATTACAGTGTTTTCTTCTTCAACAATAAGACCCAGAATGATGAAATATGTCAGTGGGGAAACCATAAATTATTCAGTCCTTTTGAATCAGCCAAACTTTAATAAAATTTGAGAATTTAATTCTTAAAAGTTAAAAATTCTCAGGTCCTCCAACGTGGCCGCCACGAGGACGTGAAAAGCCTGGCACAGTTTTAGGTTCCGTGGTGCGAAAGGCAGCTTCCAGTACAGTTAGTATTAGTTTTTTTTTGTCTGACTGCACTAATCTGAAATGCAGTTAAACATTTTAATGGAAATGTCACGCTGCATTAGCATTTTGTTGTAAGAACTCAAAATGAACTCATCATTTCCATAAACATGACTGCCTGGTCTAATAATTCTGACATCAGGCTAATCTGCTGGAAACTTCACTACATTATCCGTCCCGCTGTGAGATATGAAACTCCTCAGCTATTCTTCTTCTTCACTACTAGTTTTGTCTCTACTCCCACCACTGTTCTCCCCTTTAGACTCTTTATTTCACTATATCAGTGCTAACGTGCTCTTATCTCCTCTCTCTTCACTTACTATTTCTTCCCTCTCTCTCTTGCGCTCTCTCTCTCTCTCTCATGCACACTCTACCTGACTGGTGTGATCTCTGGTCTTATCACGGCGAAGCCACACGAGTCTGATGGATCGCCCTCCTTACAGCACTGCAGGCCAAATCACACACTTACACACTTACACACAAATGAGGCATAGCTTTGCTTTGTGGGTGGGTATTGTGTGTGTGTGTGAGAAAAAGGATGAGGTGATACATCATAAAGAACCGCAGGATGACAGCCATTCACAGGTCTGTTGGTCACTTTGTAAAAATTCCTTCTTACATACATGATGCTGTGGTCTAGTATGTTGTGGTACTAAAACAGTAGCATTAACGCCCCTTTTACATAGTGTGATTTGAAGTGTGTTGAATTGGTATTTAAATCCTTACTTTAACTAATTACTGTATTTGATAGGGACAAAGATGAAAACATGTAAAAGATGTAAACATGCTGGAGTTTAGCAAGATTGCTAATTCACATCTGTACTCCCTATACAGGTAACAAAAACATTACAAGTGATTGTACAATTGCAAATATACAATACACAAGTAGAAAGGTGGCGTTGTTGTTGGAAATGATCTGCTGTTATTCTGTATTGTTCTTACTGTGAACAAATCGTTCAGACAGGGAATTTGAAGAGGTAATCTTTGGCTCTGGTTTGCACTACTTTCTGACAATTTAAAGACTAAACAGTTATTTGAAAATGATTAGCAAATGAAATATAATCGTTGGTACTATACACTAGTTGCAAGTTTGGATTTTCAAAAGAAAAGCACTGAAAAACTTTGGTTTAGGTCTGCTGCTAACCTGAGCAGATGACGACACCTCTTTCACGTTGTTACTGGGGAATTGTCACTCAGAGCAGTGTTACCATGACAGCTCGGCAGAGGTATGTGTGCCTTTTCCCTAAGAGCTCATATCTGCCACAAGCTTATTAGAGTTTTAATTATTCTTTCATCATCTAATTACAGGAAAATAAAAAAGACATTTAATACTAGTCAGACTTTGAACTTTGTCTTGCTTTTATATTCCCTTTAGTCTTCTGGCCTTTTTCTTGTGTTCCTCCCCCTCCCTGCCGCTCGTCTCCTCCCCCATTATGCATCTTGTCATTTCCCTCACTCTCTCTTTGTGCTTTGCTGCAGTCTTGGCCGGTGTGTGTTCCTTCCCATTACGGCCGGCTGTTAAAGTTAATTAAAGAAGGGCATTCCTCTTCTCAGTGGCTGACTCACTGCATGACTACTTTGCTTACTCATGCCCAGAAAGACTGTTGAGTCACTGATCCAAAGATCCGATCAGGAGCACCAAACGAGCAGATTGGAAGCCTGATGGCAGATCATCATTATGTCAGAAAAGAAAAGGCTTAAATGTTGTTTGTGACCTTTCAACGGTCAGAACAAACGATTTCGAGAGCTTCAGTCTGTGAGTCAGCTCACACCTAACAGACCAGGGACGTTCGTTCAGTGGTAGCTTTGCTGTCACGCCTTAGTGCAGCAGCAGCGGGGGGGGGCGATGTGGTTACCACCCGCATGAACAAGCACAGTTTCTGCTGCAGTTTGACCTTTTCAAACTTTAGCTGCTCAGCGCTGTGGTAAAAACTGCGTGGGATCAGTAACAGCTGCTGCGCCTGATTGTCACAAACTTTAAATGGCCTGCCATCAAATTTGGTGCAGTCAGTTTCCTTATTTTATTCACAAAGATGGTACGCAGATGTTATTCCAGCATGAATAAAGTAAATGTTTTTAAATCTTTCTGTTACTTTTTGTCAACCTTTTTGTGGAGCGCAACCATCGTGAAACAGCCCGTAGTGGCTCACAGAAACAAATGCAACAGCAAACGTCAATATAAAACCAGTAAACAAATACGCCAAATACGCTGTGACAGATTTGAAACGACCCCTGTCTGTCACGGTGATGGATTCTAATTAATTATTGCACAAACCCTGCTGACATGTTAATACATTTCCTTAGACTGAGCTTATTTCTGATTGGCTGTGCTGCCTGCAAGCTTTCAGGATCGTCACACTTGAAATGTGACCAGCTAAGTAAGAACCAACGAGAGCAGGATGACCGTATTGGACCAGGATTTCAAACCATCCATCATGTATTTATAATCCCCCCCCCCCCTCTCCCCCGTTTGCTGTTTAACCAAACACAAAGTGACTTCTAACACCTGTGACGACCTGAATAATAAAGTGGCTTTAGTTTCCTCATGGTGGAAGTGAAGTGGAGCCAGGGTTTTACTTTGAAAGCTGTGAGCAAAAGCCAGACTCATCAGCCGCTGTGTGTTCTGCAGCCAGGAGAGACAACAGAGAGGCAGTGTGTCATTCAGATGATAGCCACGTCCCCGCAGACGCTCTTCATTCAGCTACGTCTCGCTTGATTACAGAGTTAGGAGATGGAAGTGGACACACAGCTGTATTTTATTCTCCACTGTGAAGGGAAAAGCTGCAGAACAAGCTTGTGAAAACAATCTGTTGTCTGAGAGCTTATCTTGTTTTTACTCTTTTATTTGTTTTCGCTTATATTTGCGTGGGTTTGTAATTGTGTCGCCTTGTGAGTACTGCTGCTAATGACAATTAATTCACCTGCATTTGATAAGTGGTCTCTAAATTATCAGAAAATAATGTGTCCAACCAACCGTCCAACACTTTTAAAACATCAGCTATGACAAAGAAAATCCACACATCCTCATAATCCAGAAGCTGGAATACATTCACAAGCAGGTCAATTATATAAATAAATAAATAAATGAAAGCTTGTTTTTGAGAGAACTTGAATTTGTTGCAGTCTATTCATGCTGCAGTTTCCTGATTACTTTATGCTGGTTTTTAATTAAAGTAGGTAGTTAGTATTTCAGGTTTGTAGTCTTCTTCCAGTGGTTTTGTAGCTGCAGGGCTTTTCTCCAGACAATAAAGCTATCTTTGATCATGACTATATTTTGCTGTTTTTGCGATCCCTGTCACACGGTGACCGAGCTCCTGCAGCTAGCGCCGGGCTTTAGCAAAATTGGTGGTGTTCTGCAGGTGTGCAAAGTCCTGGAGAATATGGTTCAGGAATACGAGAAGGGAAATGTGCACTTAGAATAAGATTTGTATTATGTGATTTAAAGCAACAGTCTGCTCATTGCAAAATTTTGTTATAGTTTTTATTTTTAAATTCACCTAAATAGTCAAAATAGAGTTTATAACAATTCTTGCATTTGAGTAACACGATGTGCTTGTTAATACAGTGCATTTTTACTAAACTGAATACCCTCCACCACACGTTATATTACTCAGCCTGGCCTTTACATTTTATTTTTTTTACAAAAACATAAATGAAGGTAATAGACAATCTTTTTCTTTTGAGGCAGAAAAGTCACACTAAATGGGGTTTGTCTGATGCAAATGATCTGGTCATTGTAGAGAACCAGAGCCATATAGAGTATGTTCTTTTGCTTTTGTGGCCACTCCTAGAAAGGAAGAAATTAGAAAGAGAAGTAAAGACAATTTTACCAGCAGCCCTCTCTCTGAAAGCCTTTGTCCTAGACCTGATAATGGAGGGTAATTTAAGTAGAACACTTTGATGTCAGCGAGCGCCAGAGGAGATGGACAGTTGAACGTCTCGTCTCTCAGTCTTCCTAAGTGTCCACACTTCACCTGAAGCACAGAGGGAGCACAGAGGAGTTCAGGTTATTTCAGCTAGAAGCTCAAGTGCTATTGCACTACAAGATAAACAAGGACACACTGTGGTCTGCAGAGAATCTGTGTGTGTCCTCCCTGTGTCTGTTTTATTCTCCTACAGTAAGAACCATCAGTCCATGTGGTCCAGAAGCAGATTTTCACTGGGTTCTGGTGTGTTGTCACCTTCTCTAACTCACACACAATGTGCTGGAAGATAAAGTCAGACGGGGGGTTTCACATTAGTGGGCTTCACATGCTTGTTCACAGATCATCTACCTTTTGGTTCAGGCATGATCTCCCTCTGTTTCTCCTCCCAACACACAAATAAGCCCTTATATGAAGTTAGAAAATGGCAGAGAGAAGAGAGAACACGGGTGTCTCTACAACATTTCATGATAATCCATCCAAGCATGATGACCTACTGGTTTCCTCGGTGCTGATGACCGACTATAGGTACAAATCTCTGCATTGTTGTTGGTGGCGTGATAGGAAGTGATGAGGAACTCACTGTTATCGCTGCAAAAACAAAGCAAATATAACATCAACTGGTTAAACTGTTGTTTGTCTGGGAATATGTGTTAGGTGTCCTGGTGTAGGATTTTAGCAGACGCCTGTCAGCCAGTAAGAAAAGAGTAATTTCAGGATCAAATCCCAGATTGCTGTCTAGTAACCAAGCCACATTTAGTGGTGACGTGCTCTCGAGCAAAACCCCTCCATTGTCTCTAACAGTGTGTGTTGTGTTGTGTTGGCTGCAGGTGGTGGACTGTTCCTGGGATGAGACGGTGAAGATCTACACGCCTGCCTGTCTGTCTGCAGGAACACACAGCACAGCACCGTAAAACTCACGCATGAGTCCTACTATAGTTCTGAGAACATTACATTGAGTTTTGTTCATCGCCTTGAGGCTTACTTTAACCCAGTGGTTCCCAAACTATTTCTGTCAGGCCCTAAAATTATTTCTCCCCACACAAAGACGCATCACCACACACACGCACATCTTTGGTTATTAAATTCCAATACAGTCTGAAATAATTTATTCATTTTACTGAAAAAAGGGTGAACAAACCTTTAATGAAGTTTGTTCACTGGAGTCCCTTTGTCTTCAAAGAGTCAGTCACATCTTACTGTGAACTTTAAACTTTGTTACTGTCCGCCCTTCCTGCAACGTATCATAACAGATAAGTCCAGTCCCCCTATCATAAAATAGATTTCTGCATCCAGCCTCAACACACTTTGTAATATTTACCTGACAGACCTTTCACACACTTCTCCATGCATCTATATTCAGCCCTCACTGCTCCCTCACTGATGTACAACCCCTACCCGCTACCCAATGTGGGAACCACTTCTCTAACCTCAACCATAACTGCTACTTGCCTAACCCCAGCATTGACTGTCATGTCTGACCTAAACCTTGAAACCAAATCTGAAATGTTTACCTGGTTTGGTCCCCAGGTGGAAGTCCCCAGATAGGGTCCCCACAAAGGGATAAATACCCAAACACACACACACACACACACACCTATACATAAACATTATCAGCAGCAGGAGTTGGGAAAGTTCCACCCAATCTAATCTAGTACACTGAGAACCCAAACACATGTTTGTAACAAGGAGATAAAGAGTGAAACAGAAAGAAGTTCCTCCATTTTGTCATAAATCTTGCTTTTAAATTCTTATGAAGAATAACAAGGAATACGATAAGTTACTGTTAGAGCTGCATTTTATTTGATTAATCAGAAGCCACTTTTGTATCTCAATAATCCTGTACTTTGATTATGGCACAACAGCGCCACCTAAAAAAGTATCTGATCATGATTTTATTTAATAAGCATCCTTTATGTTTCGGGCTTGATTAACAACTTGTGTTGACTTTAATGTAAATAAATTATGTAAATCAGTGAGTGTGGTCCATAATATCTGTCATTTTCTGCTTCTCTTTCATCTCAGTGATATTCTGGTAAACTGTGACTGATTTCACTGCTGAGGTGTAGATTAATGGTTGTTGACGATGTTGTCAGTGATGATCTGTATGTGCAGTGCCTTCAATAAAGATGCAAATATCGCATGAAGATGTTGATATCAAAACAAATCCTTTCTGTACATTCATTATAGCTTTATCGAGTCAGAATCACTACAATCCTGTCACTAAAAGAGCATTTTAATTCAGACATTTTGGAATGGGATTAAACTACTGATTTGAAAATATTAATTACCACAGTGGGAACAAATATTTACAAAGAGCAGCACTCTGTCTTCGCATATCTAGCAGCAGTGTTGGGCAAATTACTCAGAAATTATGAGCTACTTATTACTCATTTAAAAAGTAACAATATTACTTTACTTATTAGTGGGTATTAAAAGTAATTAGTTGCGTTAGTTGTCGGCATTAAAAGTGATGGACAACCTGTTCAACAGCGCATTTTAGATATGGATCCACTTTACTGGAACAATAATTAACCTGAGGAGTCAACAAGCAGCCAAACTGAAAACACTGCAGCCTCTCAGAACTCAAAACGACTTCAGAACTAACGTTACTGTTTTGCACATGCGTTTAGAAGAGAAGTATTCAGGCTTTTACAAAACAGGAAATGTTGATTAACGCCACTCTCTCCTGCCGAGTGTCACTGGCAGCGGCTGCTGGATTTTCTTTCTACAGGCTAAGTTTCCTGTTGCTGTGCTGCTTTAGCAGATGCCGCAATACAAAATTGTCTGTGGTTGAAAGCTTTTTGCTGGTCTCACAACGTTTACGGAAGACCATGTTCTTTGCATCTCTGACTGTGACACAGCTACGTTAGGCCTAATGGCAGGACTTACAGCTGTGGAAAGAACGCCTCTCTCCCTCGTTCTTCCTTCCAGCTGACTTGAACAACATTACGTCCGGTGTTGCTGACCTGCAGCGAGATCACACATCTTAAATTAATATGTGAAATGAAACACAACTCTGAAATGGCAGTTTATTATTGAGTCAACAAGAATTTCCAAACAATGCACAATCTACGTTGATTACAGTGGTTGACTACAGTCTTCTTACAGGCTACCAAAGTGCTTTTGCTCCCTGGCTGCACACATCCAGTAGTGTTTGTATACAAGAAAACCCGTCTATAAAAAGACTTATGGTGCTGCTGATAAATTTACTTTATCAACATAAAAAATATTGATTAGTTGAGCTTTAACAGGCACAAAGATGAACCAAAGCTGATGAGCGTCAGGTGTTTCTATTATTTTGTCCACCCTGATCCAAGAGCCCAGTTGTGCCATGAGGATCCTCTGGAATGGGCCAGGCTGAAAATATCCCTGATGATGATGATGATGATGATGATGATGATGATGATGATGACGCCTGTCCTGCCTGCAGCCAATCACAGCTCTCCTGGTGATGATGTATGAGGGGTTCCTCTCTGCCCTGCAGCCAATCTCTTCCTCTGCAGGGAAAACCCAGCCGCTCTCTCACTGGGAACAAAACACCGCACCTCCTCCTCCTCCTCCTCCTCCTCCTCCACTCGTTTCTTTCCTTACTTTTTTTATCTCCCAACGTCTTCTTTCTGTCACGATCTTTGTCCACCTCATGTCCTCTCATCTGTCTTCACCTTCTCTCCTGACGTGGCTTTCACTTATTCTTTCCTCTCCTTCACACTTTTATTTTATCTTCCTCATCTTCCTCTTTTTTTTGTTTTCCCTCTTTTCATCCCTTTTCTTTCCTTCCCTTTCTTTTCCCCCTCTTTCCCTTTTCTTTCCTTCATGTCCTTTCCTCTCCTTTCTTTATCATTCCTGTCCCGTCCTTTTACTCTCCTCTCCTGTCCATTTCTCTCTTTACTTTATCTTTCTTTTCTTCATTTTTCATCCCCTATTCCCTTTCTTTCCTCCGTCTCTCATTTCCTCTTTACTCCATCTGTCTCCCGTTTTTTCCTCCCCCTCTTCCTCTCCTCCTCCTCCTCCTCCTCCACTTCCCTACAGACTTTAAATGACTCTGCACCAAAGAAACCGGCTGCGCTGCAAAAGGTTTAGTACTTTATCGATTAATGTAATTGGACTGTTGTAATCGTCTCAGAAGACCTGCGTTCAGCTGCAGTCAGAGATCCTTAAACGAGATGATGAACCTTTCAGTCCGAATGTGTGCCAGGGGGGAAAACTATGATCAGGACTGATGGAATTTAAATGATTTCCTTTTAGCTGCAAATAGTAGTACATTATGATGTTTTCTACAGGTTACATACAGAAGGATTATGTGACAAACAGCATGATGAGGAAATGCAGTTCACATGTTTCCATTACACAGACATGTTTGATGGCAGGTTAGGGTTTTTGGGTTAATAATTGTGATATTAAAATAATAATAATAAACTTCAAAGCCTTGCTGCAACCTGTCCTCATACCTAAACGACAAAAAAGGTAGTTTGTCCATGCCTCCCAAAACGACGCACATGAGTGGCAACAAAACTACTTGGTTAGGTTTAGGAAAACATCATGGTTTGGGTTAAAGTAAGGATATTACGTAACTTATGTGACGGAAGTCAGTAACGCTAACCAACTTAAAACTCACACGGGACACAAACACCGTTCTCCTGTTCTCTACTAGAGGTCGCAGCCACAATAAACGTAAATATAGGTCTCAATAACGTGCTTTGACAGATTTGTGAACAATATTTTAGAGAAATAGGCTTTTTGTGTACATAGAGAAAGTCTTAGATCTTTGAGTTCAGCTCATGATGATTGGGAGCAAAAACAAAAGTGTTGCCTTTATAATTTTGTTAAGTGTAGATATATACACACACACACACACACACACACACACACACACACACACACATATTGAATTCTAAGATAAGTTATTGTCAAATAAACTCAAATTGCCTAGAAAAAAATAGACAAAATAAGAAAATTGAAACCTGACAAATGCATGTGCACACTCAGTTAATAAACCAAGAGAAAAATGTACAAATATGCCACGTATGCACATTTTAATGGCACATTTGCAGATATGCGATTTACTGACTGCACTATACATGTCTTCTAATTTATTCACCATGATTGTATGCTACATATTAATTTAGAAATCCATATTTAAATGGATTTAGGCCTGTTCCAATCTGTGTTTTAAGTGAAATTACTCAGCTTAATCTACATTAGCTATAGTTTGTGGAATAATGGATGCTTGCATTTGGGTTTATTTCCCTGCAGAGAACAGTCCCAGTCTAAATCCAGGCCTGGTCATAATCTCCACACGTTTGAAAGCGTCTCCGTCCTCTTCTGTCTCCGCGTGTTAATTGGAAGCTAATGGTCTGTGCTCGATAAGGGCGGATCTTCCTCCCTCTTGGCCTGGAAACTGATTTTCTGATGAAATATTTCAATTAAAATATTGTCCAAGCCATTTCCACGCCTGCTATGAGTGATGGTGATGTCTCTGTTTCTGATAAGGAGGGGGAGGAGGAGTAACGAGGAACAAAGAGACATAGAAAAATATAAAAATAAAAAGATGTCCAGCTCTCCACCAAGTTGGCAAACGTCCAAACATTTTACTAACAGGAAGAAAAGCTGCAGGTGTTCGATTACTTTATTGTTTTACATTTTCTTAAATCTTAATGCTGCAGGATACAATGATATTTATTGGAAAACAGTGTTTCTGTCAAAAGCTTTTGTCCCTTTCCTGTTTCAACATGACCACACTCCACAATGCACGAAGCAGCTCCATACAGAAATGTTTTTTCCAGTTTGGTGAGAAAGAATTTGACTGACCTGCACCTGAGTCCTGACCTCAACCTCATCCAGCACGAGCCAGACCTGGCCACCGACAACAGTTTTGGGCCTGGTGTCTGAATGGGAGCAGCTGATTCAACATCTGCTGGAAATACTGAAACCAGCTGCAAGTTGCAATGTTCAGGTAATAATAATAGCCTTCTTTATATAGAACTTTATAGTACAGGTAACAAAGTGCTGCGTCCTGGCTCATAGGGGGATAAAAGCTCAGAGATGTAGGTGCCACCCTTTTAAGAATTTTGGAAGAAGCCGGCAGCCAGTGCATGGTTGCTAACACAGGGGTGATAATGGTCGCAACAACTTTAAAGCTGAGAAGCAGCATTTTCGACTAATTGTAGGCGATAAATACATTTCTGACTGAGACAGCCTATAGAAAGTTATAATAGGTGGTATGAGCGTAGATGAGTTTCTCCAGATCTGTGATAGAAATACTTAATACATGGACTTAACCATGGCTATATTTCTCAAATGATAAAAACAAAGCTGAACAACTTTCTTTATGTGGGGTTCAAAACACAAGTCCAGGTCAAAAAACTACCCCAAGATTTCTGGCTGAGGGCTTAACATAAGTTGCTAGCTCGCCTATGTTTGCCTTGATTTCCGTTAGCGGGGGGCTGCAGAGTACAATGACGTCAGATTTTGTTTAATTGTAGAAAGTATTTTCTTTTTTGGAATACAAATTTTTATTGAATTTTACACAGGCTTGATACATGGCTGACATGTTTTACGTCAACATACAGGAACATGTAAGATACAGGAACATACAATTGTCCTGGAGACAAACTCCGGCATTATATCCATTATCCATTTAATGAAATTTGAATTATAGCCAAAATGGGACAGGGTGGAAAGCAAGAACTGCCACTCCACCCTGTCAAAGGCCTTCTCCGCATCCAGGGAAATGGCGGTAACTGGGGCGTTTTGAAATCGGCTCAGCCACATTAAGTGTAACAAAAGTCTGACATTGTCAGTTGAAGTTCTATTTTTCATAAAGCCTACTTGATTGGGGTGAATAATACTCTGCAAGACCTGCTGTAGACGTGTAGCTAAGATTTTAGTCAGACTTTTACAGTCGAGATTGAGCAAACTTATAGGCATATAATTGGAGGGGTCCGTTACATCCGGAATCAGTGAAATCACAGCTTCATTAAACGTTGGGGCTACACAACCTTTGTCCAACATCTCCTGATATACCTTACGTAACACCGGAGAGAGGATATCTATGAAAGCTTTGTAATATTCCACAGGGAGTCCGTCATAGCCGGACGACTTCCCATTTTTCATTGAGGAAATTGCCGTCCTTATTTCGGCTTCCGTTATAGGGGTCTCTAGTCCAGCCGCATCCTGAGGTTGCAACTTGGGTACCTCTATGTTTAGGAGAAATTGTTCTATATCCTCTAATGAAGTGTTAGGAGATGTAGATGATGTATATAGTCTTTCATAGTATTGTTGAAAAGTCCTATTTATATCTTTAGCTGCAAAAGATTGTTTATCCCCCTGTATTATAACTGGTATAGTATTAGCAGAAATCTTTTCCTTTAGCTGTCTAGCGAGCAATTTCCCAGTTTTTTCTCCACCTTCATAAGAGCTTGTTTTCAACCTGTAAAGCGCATATTCTGCCTTTTTGTTAAATATCTCATGCAAAGTATATTTAAGCTTGCAGAGCTCTTGAAATTTCTCATTAGAGAATATTATTTTGACAAGTCTAGTACCTTCCCCTTAATATCTTTTTCTAATTCTTTAGTCGTGTCAAGATTCTCTCTTTTCTTTTTAGTGGCTTGGGCTATAAATTTCCCCCTTATGTATGCTTTTGAAACTTCCCACGCTGTTGTTATGCTTTCTGTACTGCCAATGTTAATTTCAAAGACAGTTTTTAAGTCTTCTTCTATAGTTTTTCTGAAGGTTGGGTCTGATATTAACGTGGTATTCAACTTCCACCTGCCTCTCCTTACAGTATTTAAATTTGCCTTTATGAGGAGTTCGACCGGTGCATGATCTGTGTTATAACACAGTTGGCGACACTGTCTGCAAGAGAAGAACTTATCAGAAAAAAAAATCAATCCTGGAGTATGTTTTGTGACAGTAGGAAAAAGAAAGTATAGTCGCTCATTGTCGGGTTGGTCAGCCTCCATATATCTGTTAGTCCTACATCTCTGCTGCTCTGCCTCTCTCTCCTTGGTCATGAGAGGGGACCTAAATGCACTCTTATCCAGGACGGGGTCAATAACTTCATCAAACCCCCGCTTTTCTTTAGCTGCGCTGACCACCTTATCCCTCGCTGACTGCCTTAGAAAGCAGATCAAAACAGGTCTCGGGGGCTGGTCCATATTCAGCATTGGTGCAGGCTGCCTGTGGACCCTTTCAATCTCCAACTCCTCATCCATTTCGACACCAAGCCCCTCTGATAGAATCTGTTGTATACAGCCATGCAGCGTCCCGTTGGTACCAAAGGTCTCCTTCAGTCCCACAAGTATTCCGCCTGCATTGGTTTTCAAGAGCCTGCATTCGGTTCCACATAGCCTCTGTAAGTTCATCTTTACTCCACTTATTGTTCAGTAGCTGGTCCGATTTCTCCTCCAGGTGTGCAATGCGTGCCTCGGCCTCTCCCAGCCACTCCTGCATAGCTGTTACCGTTGTGTTCAACTCCGCTGTTGCTTGTTTAATGGACAAAACATCTGTGGCAACACCTTGCAGAGTGTCATTCATCTTCGAAATTTATCCAGCCTATCTGGCGACATTGGAGAGGCCGTGGGCGCATCGGTATGCCCATCCTCTTGCAGCGGGCTTTTCCGGGGAGCTGTGTGAGTTGGGTTTCTGAAATATTTCGACGTCGCCATCTTATCCAGGCCTTTCTTCCACTGCAATTTCAAGCATGGACGGTTACAGTTATCAGAGTGAGCACAAAATTACTATTAAGTGTGCATCTTCACATTGTAAACTCAGAAATAACTTGTGCAGGGCGAGACCTCCTCTACGTGGCGGCCATCTTGGTTGCTGCACCCACGTGACTCTGTAGAAAGTATTTTGACAATTTGTGAAGGGTTGCGATGTTAGACTGGTCACCGTTTCTGATTGGGATATAGAGCTGTGTGTCATCAGCATAACAGCGGAATTGTACATTTGTAATTTGCAGGTATCCACGTACTTTAATTATTTTTATTGATTTGAAAAAACTGTCTCACCACAAGGTCCATTTAGTAGCTTCTTCCTGACATTTTATACACTATTTCATTAACTGAGAGGGAAATTAATTGACAAATGAATCGATAATGAAAAATCGAGTCTGCAAACTTCCTCTTCAAGTTCTGTCTCGATGGGCACTGATTTCACTTGTGCTGAGTGTGGTCTCTGAGTCTATTACATGCTGATGTGTTTTTGCAGAATCTGTTGATTATTTTATCATCTTCTGATTTATTTCATCCCTGAAAAGTTTTGGTAAGATAAAATTCTTTATCTATTATGCCAATAAAGCACATTTGAACTGAACTAAATTGGACTGTGACAAGAGAGAAAGGGGTACATTGAGGTACAGACGACTAGTGGGAAACAAAAGAGCCTTAGTTCCCTGCTGATTTTTTCTTCTACTATAAAGTGTTTGCGTTTGTGCCTGTTTAGTCAGTTTGTGGCTTTGTACATACTGGTTTGCATCAAGGTGAGAAAAAGAGAGAGAGAGTCCTAACCTTTCCTCTCATTTTTCCATCCAGCGGCAATGTGTTGCCACTGTGCGTAAAAACCAAACCCTCCTTCTCATCTCCAAGACTGAACATCCCCAAACCGGGCTATAAAAGGGACCACTGATACCATCAGTACTTTCTGCCTAGTTCAACTTTCTTTAAAGCGACCAGCAAACCACCATGGATACGTTCAAGAGGCGGTTGGTGGGGATTTCTGTGGCGGTTGCACACGGCATTTTCTCCGGTTCTCTGAACATCTTGATTAAGCTCCTCATCAGTAATTATCACTTTAACTTTCTGATGCTCCTCCAGCTCCTGACCAACAGCACCACGGCGCTCACTCTCGAGATCCTCAGGCGACTGGGGAAGGTCAAGATCCCCCCATTCAGCATCCAGCTATCCAAGGTAAAAAGTGACCAAAACTGTCGGAAATTTTCATTCGGTGATTCCCAAACAGAGATCTCGGGGGGGCTGCAGTTTAGAAATATTAATTCAGTAATTAATATTATGAAAGTTATTAATAAATACAGATTGAGGGACCTAATACTAAACTCTGTCAACAATGGAGGGGGGCTCATCAAAGGGGTAAGGAACCAAAATTGCAGACACACTACCTGCCCTGACCAAGACGGTATAGATATCCACAGCTAGGCTACACGCCATGGGTTCCAGATATGCATGTGTGTGGATATGTTAAAGCATGTGAGGGTGTGTGTGTGTGTGGATGTGTTAGTATGAGAAAAGGCACACAGAGCCAGACAAATAAGGTCCTGGTTACCGCAGCTGGATAGAATGTAACTAACACACTGCCCAGCAGTGAACTTGCCTTGGACACAGTTGCAGGAACTAACAGGAAATAGCAGAAATCCTAATTTCTGGGGTAAAACACAATAGTTATGACTCTATTAACTAAGTATTTTTAGTCAGATACTTTTTTTTTTTTTTTTTTACTTCACTACATTTATCTGACACCTTTAGTTACTAGTTACTCTACAATGTAAGTTTTTTTCCACATAAAACATATGTATAGAATAAAATATATGTTTTGTTATAAATGAAACTCCCCAGCTATTTACATGACTTGATTGACAGAAATTTTATTGCCAACTCATTTTGATGATTGTTTAAGTAATTTTTCATGTAAAAGCTTTTCATGGTTCCAGGTTCACAAATGTGAAGATTTGCTACTTTTCCAAAACAAGCATTGTGACGGTGTCACTCTGATCTCTGACAACATTTCTCACTATTTTCAGAATTTTTACAATCGATTAATGGAGAAAATAATCAGCCGATTAATCCAAAATGAAAATAACAAGATGGCAGGGTATAAGAACCGGTTCAGATGACAATGGGAAACAGGTGTGTAAGGAGTAATTGCCTGCAGCTAAAGGAAGACGCCCAGCCCTCGGGGACCTGGCCCACAACTCCGCCCTATAGGAGAGGGAGAGAGAGAGAGAGGGGGAACACCACAGGAAGACAGACAAAACCAAAACCCACCAAGCACCTTTCACAAACTCCAAAAGGGGAAAAAATAACTCAAAACAAGCACACAACACACAGCTGTCACCTCCCTGCTTGGGGCGGCGTGACACAGTTTTGTTTTTATTACCTTAGAATGAGCCATTTCCATCGAACAAAAAAAAAGAGTGGTGGAGTGGTGATGGCACATTGGATAAAACGCATGCCTTTGGTGGGAGAGACCCGGGTTCAACTCCCCACTGTGGCACGTCCATCAATGTGTCCCTGAGCAAGACACTTAAGCCCTAGTTGCTCCAGAGGCGTGTGACCTCTGACATAAATAGCAATTGTAAGTCGCTTTGGATAAAAAGAATAAATGTAAAATGTTTAAGAGAAATTTGGACAAATGGAGGACCACACGTATTATTTAGCACAAGAGCAGACAGAGCGTGTCGGCCACTGTAGCTTCTCCTGTGATCTTGGAGAGGGAGGAGTGAGTGGGGACTGATGGTGCTTTCATGTGGTGTTGGAATAATCTGATTTTTTTTCCTCTTTAAATCTTTATTGCAAAAAGAAGAATTAAGTGTACATGGGACATAAAGAAGTATAGAGAACAATATTAGCGATAAGATATTATTAAAAGACGACCACATGTTGACTGTTTTCAAAGCCATTTTGTTCTTGGATATTTGAAATTAACTTGATATAAGGTACAACCTCATGGAGAAAAAGGACATGGTTAGTGTTTTTACTGCTGAATTGCCACTATAATTAATACATTTATTATAAAGTACTTATTTCTTCTGAGGAGCATGTGAGTGCTCAGTGAGCCATTTATTGCAATCTGCAACCCTCACCACTAGATGCTACTAAAACTTACACACTGAACCTTAAACATTTTCAATGTTGTACTTTTACTTGTAAAAACATATTTTTATAGTGAAGTGTTAGTACTTTAACTTAAGTAGCCACCACTGTTCAGTGGTCGTGTTGCTGAATTTTGGTCCTGACAACCAAAATTTTGGCTGCACACAGTGTTAGGAAAACGCAAAACAAAATTAACAAAGATAAACTGTCTGCTCTGCACCAGCAAATTAGGTCTGTACTTAGGAGAATAAAGTTAAACGTTGAAAGTGGAACACCTCTAGAGGTGTTCAGTCATCGCCACCGGCCTCCACCTGGTTGCCCTCCAAACATGCTCAGCCCTTCCTTCCTGCCTCGTGGTCGCACTCCGGACCTGTCCGTTCTTTGGCCCTGAAGTTAAGGCTTAGTTTGTGGTTAAGGTTAGGGGTCGATTAGGGTTATGATATGGGTTGCGCTGGCAGTAGTCGTTGTGGTTAAGGTCAGCCTCCAGAGTGACCATAAGCCATTTTAATGTGTGTCTCCCTCTCTGTGCAGGAGTTTGGCCCGGTTTGTATCCTCTCCACGCTGCAGTCCACTCTCACTCTGTGGTCTCTGCGTGGCCTCAGCCTGCCCATGTATGTAGTGTTCAAACGCTGCCTGCCGCTCCTCACGCTTGGCATCGGCGTGTGCGTGCTGAGGAACGGCATGCCGTCCATCGGCGTGGTAATCTCTGTGATCATCACCACTGCTGGAGCTGCACTGGCTGGTAAACACACATCATCATCCACATATAATACACTACAATATACATAACATACAAAATTTGCATTTATTCTTGTGTAGATGGCCAGTAAATTCCTGGAGGGAATGTATTTCTCTTGTTTTTACCTTCTTTTCATGCACTTTCTTAATTTGAATTTACTCTTGCTTACTTCTTCCTTTCTCCCTTTCTTTTTCTCAAACTCTTTAGGCATGAATCTGGGTATTTTATGATATAACTCCATCTGTCTATGGTAAAGAGAATCTAGGCTCAAAGGTCAGACCTCTCATTTGCCTCTCACCATTTTCATCAGTAGGCTGAACTCGTCTTCCTCTTTATCTCTCTGTTGTTACTTCTCCTGCTCTTTCTCTCCCGGTGACGACTCTAAGCAAACGGTCATTGTCCAATCATTTCTTAATAACAGAAGCTAGGCGTGGCTGTCCTGTCTCTGGATTTCTCCACATACCCAAACAGCATGCTTTTAATCACTTTTAAAAGGCCTGGTGTGTGAAAACATATGACATAAACATATTTCTCTCAATATACATAAACAAATATAAACAAACAGGATGACAAGCTCAGCAAAAACAGACAGAAGCTACTGTGTACAAATTATCGGCAGTCACCCGAATCAAGGATGACTGTCCTCTCTGTCTACTTCTGGGTCTTCAGCTGGCTGTAGAGATCAATCCGCAATCCACATATTTTGGTGCAGTGTGGGCAGGGAAAAGTGGAGGTGGTTTTTGGTAGTGGAGCTTTTTTCTCTCCTTCCTTAGGGTGCTGTTGCTTTGTTTCTGTGACACGGCGGAGTTCCTTTTTATGATGTGCAGCTCCTTCCTGCACGGATTTCCTCGAGCAGTGCCTGTCCAATACGATGTGCTCCATGTCGCTTCATGCAATGTGAAATTTCTTCAGACTGGTCTTTGTTGTCTTTGAATTGTTTCTTTTGCCCGCCAGGGGCTCGCTGACCTTCCTTCATCATCTCGGAGTACAGGATCTGTTCGGGCAGACGTGAGTTGGACTTGCGAATGACAAGGCCAGTCCATCTGAGTTAATCTTGTGCCAGAATCTTTCACAAGGATCGTTGTTGATGTTATTCCAGGGCTCTTAGGTGCCAGCTGTAGGTGGTCCTCTGCTCTTTACAGCAGGGTGAGAAAGACCACCGCAGAGTCTGGTATATGCTCCACTGGCACAGCTCAGGCGATGGTCGACCTTAAAGTCTATGTCAGCTTTAGAGCAGAGGAAGCTATCAAGGTAGGGGAAGTGGTCAACATATTCAAGAGGGGTGTTGTTCACTTTTATGATGGGTTGAGTTGATGACTGATTGTGTGGAGATTGATGTAGGACCTGGGTCTTTTTGATGTTTAAGGCTAGACCAAGGGCTTTGTATGCCTTTGCAAAGGTTTTCAAAATGTCCTGGAGGTCTTCTGCAGAGTGTACTGCGATGGCGTTGTCGTCTGCATACTGAAGCTCCGTAATGCCGGTGTTTCTGACCTTGCTCTTGATATTTAACCTTTTGAAGTTGAAGAGCCTGCCATCAGTTCTATACAGGATTAGAATCCCCTGTGGCAGCTCTCCCCTCTTTAGTGCCTAGCAGAGGGGAGAAGTTGGAACAGGTTCTTTCCTGGGTGTGATGGATCTGCAGTGATGTTTCCCACTCGTTTACTGACACTAAACATGTGTAAGTCCTGAATAGAGGGCAGGTTGGCACCAATTTTTATGCAGTCCTGACTGTTAATTGTAGTCCTGTTTGGATCTAGAGAGTGATGGACGTGCAGAGAACAGTCTGAATAATTGCTGCTGGCGCAGGAAGTACATCCTATGCCTTTTTGATGATGGTGACTGTGTTGGGCTACCAATTTAGGTGCTCAGAGATTGTGGATCCCAGATACCTGGAGTTTCAACAGCAGACACAGGGCTTTTGAGGATGGTGATGGTGGTCAGAGTTTGGGGGCCCATTCTAAAGTCCACTGTCATCTCCACAGTTTTGAACGTGTTAAGTTCGAGGTTGTTGTGACTGCACCAGAGAGCCAGCTAATCAGCCTCCCGACCTGTATGCAGACTCATCACCGTCCCAGATGAGGCCGATAACCGTTGTGTCATCTGAAAACTACAGGAATTTGACAGATGGGTCTCTTGAGGTACAGTCTTTTTTGTAGCGGGAGAAGAGCAGTGGGGAGAGCACACACCCCTGGGGGTTGCCAGTTCTAATTGTCTAGGTGCTGGATCAGATCTCCCCCAGTCTCACCTACTGCCTCCTATCTATCAGGAGGCTGACACAGTAAGCTTTAGTAAGTGAGATACTCGACATATATAAAACACATATAAGTGCAAAAGTGGAAGCAATGGATTAAATGATGTTATACATTAATTTTACCTTAAGTCTATTGCATGAATGTGGCCATCAAGTGCATATTATTGACCATTTTACATAGTTCCTGTTATCAAACATATCAGCACGGAAAGTTAGCTAGAGAAAACTTTTCATCAAATTTTTTGTGTTAGCATCAGCCTACACTACCTACAGCAGACCGGCGTCATTTCAGGCAACAAAATCAGGCACCAGCTAAAAATGAGAACTTGTTTTGGCCTACTTCTGTGTCATGATTCATTGTTTGCAAAATTACTTTAAATTTAAATGTCAAATTTTACGTTGTTATCATTGTTATATATATATATATATATAACGATTAACAGGCATAGTAACAGTAACTAAGGGGGGTCGGGTTTAGCAAACTGTTATTTCCAATGTCCAAATACACAAGAGGCTCCACAGATACAACAAATCACAAAACTGGGGAAACAAGTTTTTTTTTTGCAATCTCAATTTTAATTTTCACTTGCTTTTCACCCCAGGTGCTGGTGATGTCCACGGCGATTCCTTTGGTTACATCACTGGCGTGTTGGTGGTCATCATCCACGCCTCCTACCTGGTCCTGATCCAGAAAACCAGTCTGGACAGCGAGTACGGACCACTCACAGCGCAGTACGCCATTGCTGTCATAGCCTCACCTGTAAGACTGACGTGCAAGGAATTAACAATGCATGGGTTTTTGTTTCTCCTCCTTTTCCTCTCTTTCTCTCTCTCTCTCTCTCTCTCTCCTTGTCCATTTATTTTGTCTGTAATTTTCTTACTAACCTTTTCTCTGTGTGACTCGTTGTCTCTTTGTTGCACTTTTAGGTGCTTCTTGTATGCTCCGTCATCTCCAAGGACACCATCAACATGTGGTCTTATGAGGGCTGGAAGGACCCCCACATCGCCGTTATCTTTGTCTTCTGCATTGTTTTCGTCTGCATCATGAACTTCACCACGCTGCAGTGCACCTACATCAATTCCGCAGTCACCACCAGCTTCGTTGGCGTGGTCAAAAGCATCGTCACCATCACTGTTGGCATGGTGTCATTTAGTAACGTTGTGCCAACAGGGCTGTTCATCGGAGGCGTAGTGGTCAACACCATTGGATCAATTATCTACTGCATCGTCAAATACTTTGAGACGAAGAAGAAGAAGAGAATGTATAAGGACCTGGAGGAGGCTGGGAAGGATGGTGCGTTTCCTTACGAGCCTTACCAAGAGAAACCACCACTAAATGGCATCGGGCCTGCTGCTGGCATCAGGTCTCATCCAGGAAATTTGAAGTTAAAGGGAGCACTGAGCAGTGACAGGATGGAGGAGTCAGCATCTGCTGCCTTGGAAAATAAAGAATTGTGGACAGGAAATGGTGGAAAAGGAGACGGAGAGGCAGCTGTGAATTCCCACGTCATGACAGAAAAGGAAATGCAGGAGATGCAGAGGGAGCACCACCAAAAGCTGAACACCACATCCAGTCAGTCGGTTATTGACAGCTATGTTGGAGTGTGGAGGTCCGTCAGACATCTGCAGTTTAAGAAAGACCCTTTGATTCAGAAGCTATAAATTAAAACTTTTAATGCACAAGTGGATCAGATCAAGTTACTAGTAAAAGCGTGTGCTGACCACTAAATCATAACCAATCTCTGTCTATGGTCTCACTGGGTTTGTTTATTTGAGTCTGAAAATGAATTTGATTGATTGACTTTCTTTAACCCTTCACCGTCACACATGGTCACAATTGGTTTGCCATGTATGTGCTTGCTTACCATCACCCGGTGGGGGGTGGTTTCATTTTTTGTCTAAAAAAGACAAAACACTGAGGCCCTGTATTGATTACCAGGGTTAAACAGCATCACCATTAAGAATAATCAGTTCTGCTTTCCCCCCACTACATGGAGTCACCGTTTTCTCAAAGTTAGACATGTGCAACGCCTACCACCTGGTTTGCATAACGACAGGGCATGAATGGAAGACTGCCTTCAACACTGATGGGTCAATTTGAATATCTAGTTATGCCTTTTGGTTTTTCGAGTGCCTCTGCAGTGTTCCAGGCCATGGTGAATGATGTCCTACGGGACATGCTAAACAGATTTGTATTGGTATATATGAATGATATAGATTTTTTCTAGGTCCCTCTAGTCTAATACTACTTTCATTGATTACAACATTGCCCAGGGAGAATTGAGGATGGACCCCATTAACATTTCCCAGTCCCAACCAACCCCAGCCGTCATCGTAGATGTGGATGCATCAGACACACGGATAGGTGCTGTTTTTTCTCTGTGGTCCGCCGCAGATAACAAGCTTCACCCATGTGCTTATCTCTCCCCCAAGCTCTCTTTGGCAGAGAGAAATTACAACGTAGGAAACCGGGAGCTTCTCGCAGTAAAGCTGGCCTTGGAGGAGTGGCAGCTCTGGCTAGAGGGAGCTGAACAGCCATTATTTGTTTGCAATGACTGATCTTGCCTATATCCAATCTGTGAAGTGTCTGAACTCTTGACAAGTTAAACAGGCCCAGCTCCAACCAGCTGACCCAGTTTCTTTGTGCCCAAGTCTGCTCTATCACAGGTTCTCCAGTGGGCTCACTCATCACCACTCACCTGTCACCCCGGCGTCAGTCGAAGGTTTGACCTCCGTCGCCGGCGGTTCTGGTGGCCCACAATGGAGGCAGATACCCTCTTGTTCTTTGCAGCCTGCTCTGTCTGCGCTCGGAACCAGACCCTAACCCAGCCTGGTGCAGGTTTATTATGTTTGCCACCGATACCCAGCTGGTCCCACATAACTGTGGACTTCGTCACTGGTCTTCCTCTGTCCTTGGGTTCAGTCATCCTCATTTTTATTAATCACTTTTCCAAGTTTGCACACTTTTTGGCTCTAACTAAATTCCCCATAGCTAAGGAGACAGCAGTCCTCCTGGCAGGGCATGTGTTCCGCCCCCATGGTCTGCCTTCTGACATTGTTTTAGACAAGGGGCTTCAGTTCACCTCCCAAGTCTGGAGAGCCTTCTGTTCCACCCTGGGCATCTCTTGAAGTCTTTTCTCCGGGTACCATACCTAAACCAATGGCCAGACTGATAGAGCTAATCTGGACTGTGCCATGCTGCATTACCACTGCCTATCCAGCATCCTGGAGCTCCCTTGGGTCAAATATGCGCACAACACCATTACCAACATGTCTACCGGTATGTCTCCCAGTCCTAGCAGTCCACCCCGTTCAGGCACACACGCTGCTTCGAGTTACATTGTGGATCCATCCCTTATTATGGAGTTCCATCGGCTACATCCTGACAAAGCCAGACGGATGCCAAGTGGTGCCCATAGAGGGGGAGAACTATCAGGTCTGCTGCCTCTGTAGCCCTGTGAACATGCTTCTCTCTCTCTCTCTCTCTCTCTCCCCTTCCTGTGTATCTCTCTGTGTGTGTTTCTGTCCTTAGTTGCAGGAGTGGAGCCAGGTGCACGGGAGTCAGGTTCCAGCTGCTTTTCATCATCACAATCGAGTCTGCCCAATAATAATAATAATAATAATAATAATAATATATCATTTTAATATTAATATTAATATTAATATATAATATAATAATAATAATATTATAATATTGTAGAGCACTTTTCAAAAACAAGTTACAAAGTGCTTTAACAAGTATAAAGACAATAAAAGTATTTTTTAAGAAGGGACTTAAAAGAGTTCACTGACTCAGCCGACCTGATTTCCTCGGGCAGGCTGTTCCAGAGCCTCGGGGCCCTGACAGCAAACGCTCTGTCCCCTTTAGTTTTCAGTCGAGACTCTGGAACAGACAACAGACCTCTGCCCGAGGATCTCAAGGTACGTGCTGGTGCGTATGGGACTAAAAGGTCAGAAATATAACAAGGCGAGAGGCCATGAAGAGCTTTAAAAGTGATCAATAGAATTTTAAAGTCAATTCTAAAACATACTGGGAGCCAGTGTAATGAAGCTAAAATAGGAGTAATGTGGTGGAGTAATTTCTTTGTTCTGGTTAAAAGCCTGGCTGCTGAGTTCTGGACAGTATGGAGTCGATCAATAGATTTTTGGGTTAAACAGGTGAAAAGGCTGTTCCAATAATCCAGGCATGATGAGATGAAGGCATGTAAAATGGTCTCAGTATCCTTAAAAGTTAACATAGATCGAATATTTGCTAGATTTCTAAGCTGATAAAAACATGATTGAACAAGCTTTGTGGTGTGCTGCTCAAAATTTAAATTACTATCAAACCAAACACCAAGGTTCTTTGCCACAGGCTTAATCTGCTGGGACCCAATGACCAGGATTCATTGTTGTTCAGTTCAGCTGGAAGAAATAATTTGACATCCATTTTTTTACTTCACAAAGGCAGTTGTTAAGTGAACTCAGCATTCCAGGGTCTGTGGATCTGATGGGCAAGTACATGTGTGTGTCATCAGCATAAATATGAAAATAAATACCATGTTTATGGATAATATGTCCAAGGGGAAGCAGATACAAGGAAAACAAAATGGGTCCTAAGATCGACCCCTGAGGCACACCATATGTAACTGGACAGAACGAAGAGACATAGTTGTTTACAGACACGCAAAACTTCCTATTTGACAGGTAGGATGAAAACCATTCTAGGGCAGTACCAGAGATCCACAGTGCCTCAGTCTGTCTAACATGATGTTGTGATCAATGGTGTCAGAAGCAGCGCTGAGGTCCAGGAGTACAAGGACTGAGCACATGCCTTCATCAGCACACATTTCTGTCATTGGTGACTTTAAGCAGGGCAGTTTGAAACTGTTCAAATAATTTGTTATTTTCCAGTACAGTGAGCAGCTGTTTGGACACAATTTTTTTTAAAAGGTAGTTTTGAAATTGGTCTAAAATTATGTGGGAGGGAGGGATCTAAACCAGGTTTCTTTAAAAGTGGGTTCATGCAAGCTGTTTTAAAATAATCAGGGACACAACCAGTAGATAGGGAGCTGTTGAAAACAGAGATCAAATGGGGCCCAACAGAATCTATTACTTTCAGTAAAAACTTTGTAGGTATTACATCAAGTGGGCTGGAGGACACTCTCATTTGTGATACTGTTTTTAAAAGCTCAGACAAGTCGATGGGATAAAACTGGTTAAAACTCTCTTGTTGCTGGTGAGGAACCTCTGAGTAAGAGGCCGCGGGGGTAATAGAGGCTCTGATTGACACCACCTTATTGGTAAAATAAGATAAAAGCTATTCACAGTCATGATTACTTCCAGCTGAGGCACAAGGAGGGGGTTGGGTTTACCAGCTGATCCACAGTCTTAAACAGAAACCTGGGATTGTGTTTATGTGTAGTAATGAGTTCAGAAAAATAGTGTGTTCTCGCATCCTTAACCATGTTATTGTAGTTAATTAATAAATCCTTCAGACTGAGGTAATGGACTTGGAGACTGGATTCTTTCCATCTGCGCTTTTTGCTTTCCTGCATTCTCTTTTTAGGCTGTGAATGCTGTCATTTATCCAGGGTTGCTTATGAGCTGTAGGTTTAGGTCTAACCTTTAGAGGAGCAATAGTATTTAGGGATGACAAGCAAATATGATTGAAGTGATCAGTCAAGTTGTTGGTGTTGGAATCAGTCAGGTGATGGCTTTGGCTCTGAAACAATGTGCAAAACTTTGAAACGCTTTGTTCATTAAGGATGCGAGAACAGGAAGTGCTTGGTGAGGCAGATTGAGTAACTGGTGATTCACAGTTAAAAACAATACATTTGTGGTCAGATATGGTCATGTCCACTAATTCCACAGAGGAAATGTTGACACCCAGGGTAAAAACCAAGTCCAGTGTATGACCACGGTTTTGTGTTTGCCCTTTGACATGTTGTTTTAAGTTAAAAGAAGTGGTTATTTTTAAAAAGTCAGTTGCATAAACATTTGTGAGGTCACCAACATGAATATTAAAATCGCCAAAAAGAACAATTTTGTCATAATTTAAAATCAGAGTAGATAAAAATTCTGGAAGTTCTGCTAAAAATCCTCCAGGTGGTTTTGGGGGGCGATAAATTCTGACAAATATGATAAGTTGCAGGCCAACTTTAAGAGTGAGAACTTCAAAGGAGTTAAATTCATCACAACGTACTTAATGACATTTAAAATTTTTAGTTGGTGCAGTTGTCCTAATCCTTAAGAGATTACTGTTATTTCTGTGTGGGATGTGCACATTTTGGTTTACTGGTCTATGTGTGATGATGACAGGAATAGAAGTCTGTGGAACAGCGCTGGGAGCAGACGGCTTTACATGCCAGCAGGTGGAGACAGTTGTTTGTGGCAGTGAGGCAGAGATCTGTTCAGTGACTGGTGGTGTGTCCAGGTGTGCTGCATGAATGATTAGTCATTCTTCGTAAGTCCTGAGGGGAGGGCCGCACCACATGCTGTATGTGAGCAGCTAACATTTCTGAGCCCAGTTTGGTTGGGTGAAGTCTGTCTGTCTTAAAAAGAGACATTCTTTGCCAGAAAATATTAAAATTATCTACATAACACACAGCGTGAGCCCTGCAGGCGTTCTGGAGCCAGTCATGGAAGCCAAGGAATCTACTGAAGCGGCCAGCACCGCGACC